AGATGTGACTTGGCGCGTGAGGGCTGTGACGTGATGTGTGTGCAGGACACAGGCTCACTGAGGCCTCTCCTACGGCCCCAGGAGCCCCAAATCCAAACCGAGAGCTGCCAGGTCCCAGGCAGCTCCGCGGGTCTCCCCGATGACATTCCTGCATGCCCTGCTCCATCAGTTACTGCTGGGGCCCACAGGCACAGGCTGCCCCCCAGGCCAGCTGGGAGTGAAGACGCTGGTGAGTGGGTGATGATGGAGGCCCAGGCTGGTGTGCACGCCCTGTGGGGCTCTCGCACCCGCCGCAGGACCTGTGCCTGCCCTCCCTGATCCCAGCTCAGGCACAGCCGGCACAGCCTCCTCTACTGGTCCTCAGCGCCCTGAGACCCTGGGATGAGCAGGACGGGGGCCTACATCCCTGCCCCGGAGTCTTGGGGTGCATGCGTGCCCGGGTGCCCTGGCCCCGGCCCACGTTGGTGAAGGTTTTTACTGCAGTGGGTTTTTCCATGAAAGCCACCCTCTGGGGGTGACAGTTATGCTTACAAATTGCCTTCAAGCTTGACCACCCGAGCCCAGAGACCTCTGTTTTCTGCCCTGCCTGAACCCCCGTCAGTGTGGCCAGGCCTGCGCCCCTGAACCTCGCGGGTCCTTGCCGTGGCCCGGGGCCTGTACGGCCCTCAGGAACTCGGGATTCCGGCGGGGCAGCCTGGCTCGGCCAACGAAGGTGCCACCTGGCCGAGGCCATGCCCCCAGACCTCAGGGCCAGCACGTGGGAGGACCAGACCACTGCCTCCGCCCGGCCTTCCCTGGAGCCACACTGCCCTCTGCTGGTGCCTCCGGGCATGGCGGGAGCCGCTAGGACCCCTGGTCTCCTGCTGCTCCGGTGCCTGGCGGGACCCTCCATCCCCCGTGTCAGGGCTGCTGGGCAGGAAGGGACCCCGGCCCCAGCACGTGGGGGCTTGGAGCTCAGGGACAGCCCTGGGGTAGGCTGGGACAGAGTCTGCCGCCCCAGGGCCTCCAGCCCGGCTTCCGGTTCTCATGGCCGCCAGGCCGGTGGGGGCCGCCGGTACACCCAGCTTCTCTTCTGTCTCTGTCCATCTGTCTGTCTGTCCGTCCATATTTTTGAGCACCCAAGACTTTAGAAGCGTAGTTTGAGAATGACTGTTCCGTGGTGGTGGTGGGGGGGGGCCGCCCATCACCGGGCTGCTGAACAGGCAAGGCCCCCAAACCTGCCGGCAGCCCAGACCTCTGCTGTCCTGGGAGGCCCCGCCCGGCTGTGCCCTGGCCACCAGAGGACCCAGGCAGTGACACTCTGCACTCCCCACGCTCCAGCCCACCCCACCATCCCCTCTGACCCTGGGACCCATTTAAGGGACAGGAAACCCTCTGCAGGGCCCCACTGCTCCATCCAAGCCATGGGGGCCAGGCGGGGATTCAGGGCCCCTCCAGATCCGCCCCACGTTTGCCTGCCTCCACTGAGGACCCCCGCTCGTGCCGCTTCATCACATTAGGGTCTGTCGGTGCCTGACTCCCCTGGGAGGGCAGACTTATGAGGGCTGATGCCCCAGGGCCTGGAAGGGGCCTGGCACAGGGGAACTGCGGAAGGAGGGAGGGATGGGAGTGGGGAGGAGGGGAGGGAGAGGTTGTGGGGGAGTGTCTGCCTCCACCCAGCCTCTCTCCTGACCTCCAGACCGGGCTTGAACTTGGAAAGGGCGTGGGCCCTGAAGCCAGTTGCCCAGGCTCCTGGCCAGGCCTCACCTGTATTGGCCGTGTCACCTTGGCCTCTGGGTCCTTGCCTGGTAAAATGGGGCCCCAGAGGGACAGTCCACGTGTGGGGTGAGATCAGTGCCTGGGCCTCCCGGAGCACACTGCTACCCTTGACTGTGGTTACCTGTGGCTACCCACTGGGCACCTCCACCCGGATGAGCACAGGCACCCAGTTCATATCTATGAGGACCCTGTGCTCCGCCCAGGCCAATGCCTCGTGTCTGGGTCACGTCCTTCCTGTTCGGTCCTCCTGAACCCCCAGGCATTCTGCTCCCTCCCTTCTGTGTCTCATCCTGGACATGGGAGCCTGAACCCCGGGCGCGCAGCCCGAGAAGTTGCGTTCCCCTGGCCGTCCCCTGGCCACACGGCGCTAGCTGACCCTCGCCTGCACAGTGGGTGTGTGCATGGGAGCCCCGGGTGGGCTGTGCTGGGGCGCGGGGTCATGCGATTATCCCAGTGAGCCCAGCGAGCAAACGCCTGCTGAATACCAGCTGAGTGGCCCAGGTGCTCACCCGGCCACACCGCCAGAACAGTTATTGCAGACTTAGCGGCTGAAACACCACAGCTTTATCTCACTGTTTCTTTTTTTTTTTTGGCTGCGTTGGGTCTTTATTGCGGTGCGCGGACTTCTCCTTGCAGTGGCTTCTCGTTGCAGAGCACGGGCTCTAGGCACGCGGGCTTCAGTAGTTGTGGCACGTGGGCTCTAGAGCGCAGGCTCAGTAGCCGTGGCGCACGGGCTTAGTTGCTCCGCGGCATGTGGGATCTTCCCAGACCATGGCTCGAACCCGTGTCCCCTGCATTGGCAGGCGGATTCTTAACTGCTGCGCCACCAGGGAAGCCCCTCACTGTTTCTTTAGGTCAGTCGTCTGAGTGGGCTCTACCGAGTCGTCTGTTCCTGGTCACATGGGGTGAAGGCTCTGTGTCGGCCGGGCTGGCTCTTACCTGGAGCTCAGGGGACAACTTTCTTCAAACTCATCCAGGTCCTTGGCAGACTCAGGCTCCTCAGGGTTGTAGGACTGAGGGCCCCATTTCCGCTGACTGTGGGTCTCCCGCTCCTGCACCCACGTGTCTGTCCGCCTGGCACCTGAAATCTCTCTGGTTTCCTCTCTTGCTGCATTTCTCTGGCTCCAGCTGACCGTTTAAGGGGCAGCACGTTCTCTGCTCTTAAGGGCTTCTGTGAATAGGTGAGGCTGGCCCAGACAATCCAGGACCCCCTCCCCACCTCAGGGTCCCTCTGTCAAGGAACGTGACGTCTTCACAGGTTCAGGGAGGCCATCCCTGCTATGCCTGCTAGGCCACAGTGTCCTCATCTGCACGTGGACTGAGGCCCCTGCTTCATAGGGCTATGGGGACTAAACACTGGGCCTTACTGGGGGTGTACTTGTGTGCAATTTTATCTAAGCCTGCACACTTTTACACATAATTCTTTTTTTAATATTTATTTATTTTTGGCTGTGTCAGGTCTTAGTTGTGGCACGCGGGCTTCTCTCTCGTTGTGGTGCACAGGCTTAGTTACCCCGCAGCATGTGGGATCTTAGTTCCCCGACCAGGGATCGAACCCACGTCCCCTGCATTGGAAGGCAGATTCTTAACGACTGGCCCGCCAGGGAAGTCCCCATAATGATTCTTATTACACTACAATTACGGTATTGTTCTAATGTAACTGCACTTTATTTCTAAAGTTATAACAGCTTCACTTCTCTGCTGAAAGTCTCGGTGCCCCCCTTTTATCAAGAGAAAGTTGAAAATCCCTAGATGGGTGGATGAACCTCCAGGGCTGGAACGCCCCCTCCCACACCCCACACCCCCTCACCCAACGCTCCCTCACAATCCTACCCCGGTCCGGTGGAGCCACTGCCCTCCTCCCAGCTCACAGGTGCCCAACCGTGTCCCACCAGAGACAGAGGAGGCCACCCAGGGAGGGGAGGCCATGGCCCCACTGGGCTGGGCAGCAGGACCCGCACCTCAGGCCCCTCCCACTCGCACAGGACCCGAGGGAGGGTCCGCTGGTGGTGAAGGGTTGAACCCTGGGGTTGGCGGCCGGGTAAGCGGAGGGGGCGCCTGGAGGGTCCGTCGCCTTGAGTCCACCAGGAATAAGGGCTCTTCTGGAGGAGCTGGTCCACGGGCAAGGAAGGCCAACTGGCCCTTGCAGCCTGGGGTGGACCAGCGCCGGACGGGACCTCGGGGCTCAGACACAAGAGGTCAGCGGAGACAACTTCCTGCACAGGGCCCAGAGCCAGACTGGACCCCAGGCTTCCGCGTCCCCAGCCCCAGCTGCCCGGGCACGAGACTGGGGGGCGAGGCCATGTGGGGGCCTAACCAGCCTGGGGACCACGCCCCTCCCCCAGGGACTCCTCCTGCTCTCCGGGCTCTCCCATGACCAGACCCAGCTTACCCTCCCCCTTGGAGCACCCCCGCACCCGGGAGGTTGTTGAGGGGGACACAGATGGCCGAGAGGAGGGATGGCCTAGCTGAGCCCCTGCCCCCGTCTACTTCACCCTCTACCCGTTCAGGGGGCAGAAACCCAAAAACATTCAGAGGGCTCCTCCACCCGGGTTTGGGGTCTGACCTCAGAGGCAGGACGTGGCCTCCAGGAGCTGCTCAGCCCCAGGGCCTCCGAGCCTGCAGCTGGAAGGGTCTCCCGCCCTCCACCCCCACCTTGGAGCGGTGAGTGCCAGGGACACAGTCTCTGCCGGAGCCCCTGCCCTCACCCCTATCCCCGGCAGCCTGGCCTCCTTCCAAGCAGGCCTAGGGCACAGATGGTGCCGCACCTGCTCAGCTGCCCCGCAATCTGGAGAGGAGAGCAGAGGCCCCCGTGCCTGCTCCTGCTGCAGAGAAGACCGGCTCTCGGAGAGGACACTCCCCACTTCCCTGCCCAGAAGACGGCTCGAGGTCCGCAGGGCCGCCCCCGCCCTCCCCGCCCTCCCCTGGTTCTGAGCCGCAGGCTGCCCAGGAGCGCAGGGGCTTGGAGGGGAGAGATAGCCTCCCCCTTCCACCAGGTAGTTACCAACCAAGTAACTGCCAACCGAGGAGGAAGGAAGGGGCGGGTAGAGCTGGGCACCGGGCCAGGTCTGTACCTGTCCTTCCTGTGTGCTAGCTCTGGGGGTCAGCAGTGGACAACCTGCCCTGGGGGGCTCCACCCCTGAGCGGGAGACAGTAAAGGGACACAGCAAATGTGATCCAAGCCCTCAAGGCAGCGAGCGGCTGGCCTTGGGGAGAGCCGGACAGGCAGTCCTGGCGAGGGCATGGCCGGCCAGTGCAAAGGCACTGAGGCAGGAGAGTGCCTGGTGCTCAGAATGAATGAGGGAATCCACCCTAGTCCCCAGCCCCCACCCGCCGCTGCCTTTCTGACAGCCTCCTTCCTGGAGCCCCGCATCCAGCCTGGGACGGTGCCCGACCCCTGCTCCGCCCCCGACACATGCTGTCAGTCACATGTGCTGTCACTCAGCCGCCCCCCCGCCCCCCGCCCCGCCCATGTGCTGTCACTCAGCCCCCACGCCCCGCCCTACACACTTGCTGTAACTCAGCCGCCCCCACGCCCCGCCCATATGCTGTAACTCGGCCCCCCCACGCCCCGCCCCACACACGTGCTGTCACTCAGCCCCAGGCGCCGTCCCGCCCACGTGCTGTAACTCAGCCCCCACGCCCCGCCCAGCTTCGCCCCCGCACACATTATCACTCCCTCGCCAGGCTCGCCCCGCACACTTGTGCTGTCACTCAGCCGGGTCCTGTCCCAGCAGAAGGCGTCGCTCCCGCCGCCGGACGCTCGGCCCGCTGCCCGCCGCCGGCCCATGGACGCCGCGCTCCTCCTCGCCCTCGGGCTGCTGGCCCAGGTAAGGCACGGGCGCTGCGCGGGGGTCTCTGGCCCCTGCACTGAGCGCCGGCGTCTTAGAGTGGGGCGACCCGGCCTCGGGGACCGAGAGCCGAGGGTTCTGTGCGGGGCAGCCCTGTCCAGGGGGGAGTGTAACCGCCTCCGCTGGACCGGACGGGGAGCCAAGTTCGGGGACGGCCAGGAGAGCACCCAGAAGGCGGGCCCTCACTCCGGAGGGGCGCCCCTCAGCCCTGCTGGGGTCTGGGAGTGTTCAGTCTCGCGGGAGGCGAGGGAGAGGGGGCGGCAGGAACACCCCCAGCTGGGAAAGCCTGGAGGCCTGGTCCCTAGGGACCCCTGTGAGCTGGTAGGTGATTCTCCGTAGTCTAGTTGGGTGGAGTCCGAGCCCCCATGTGTCCGGCCGGCAGGGGCAGCTGTGGGCTCTGCCCTCCAGAAGCCCCCTCTCCCTGGGGAGCCCTGGTCTCCCTGGTGGGAGCAGGACGGGCGGCAGGAAACACAGGCCGCCCCACTCGCCACACGGGCACCCCTGGGTGGCTGGGACCGCATCCTTTCGGCCCCTGGCTTCTGGGCAGGTGCTAGGCTGGGGCCAGGAGTGCAGCGTGTGGCCTCAGTGGTCTCCGGGCTTCGGGGGACTGGGCTGAGCGGTGGTCACTGGTGAGGGCCGGGGGCCAGGAGGACGGCCTCAGGCCTCTTACACCTGACAGGTGATGAGCACAGGGCCTGGCCCTGCGCCCACGAATCATCACTCACTGTTACACTTCCAGAGCCATCACGCAGCGCCGGCCGCTGGCGAGCGTCGCCCCTCACTCCCGCGGCGCCCCCGGCTCCGGCTCGGGTTTCAGCCCCTGGCAGCTGACTAGGTGCCGCCAGCCCCCGCCCCAGCTACCCACACCCCTGCCTCCGGGCCTTCACTGACCCCATGGAGGCGGTGCTGGCCGCTCCCCACTGCCATGGCCACCTGACCCAGAGGGAGGCCGCAGCCACCCTTGCCCGGCACAGCGTGACTGCCCACGGCCTGTGCCCCTCGGCCCGCTGCTGGGAGCCCACCCGGGGCAGCGGGCTCTCTGCCCCCACCCCAGGGCCTGGATGCCCCCATGCGCTCCAGAAGGCTCCAGGCTGCAACGCCCCCTCCCACGATTCCTGCCCCTGCCCCGCATCAGGCGGCATGTCCTCGGAGGCCCACTCCTGGGTCTGGGGGTGTCATCCTTTGACCGGGCCCCAGGGGGACTCTGCTGCGGGGGAGGGGAGTAGATCCCTCTCAGATGCCTCTCCCCTCCCCCAGGGTCATGCCCAATGCACCCGCTCCCAGACAGCTGGGGACTGCGGGAATTCTGGTGGCGCTGGGAGGCCAGCCAACGGGCCTGGCCACTCATGTTCCCGCACTCCCCGCGGCTCAAATTAGCTCCGGTGTGAGGGGAGCGACTTCGGGATTGGCCGACATGTGTCTGCGTCAGGACCTCGCACGGCCCTCCCCCATCCAGCTCAGCTTTCAGACTTTTGTCCTCTCCTGTCCAGCCACACGGGTCCTGCGGCCGCTTCCCAGACACACCTTCGTCCACCTCTGGGAGCCCCCCGGCAGGGCTGTCTCGGGTGGGCCCCTGGGGTGGGGGCCTGTTGACCAGACTCCGCACAGGCCCGTCATCTGCTTGGTGGCCTTGGACGAGGCTCACCCTTCCCTTGTGTTGCCTGAAATGTCGGCCAGGGGGCTTAGCGTGTGTCTTTTCGGAACTGGCCTCTATCGGCCCCTCACCTGTGCCCGTGGTATCCCCAGTAGCTGGGCCTTCACTGGGACCCCCCCTGCCTGGGGGTGGGGAGCCCAGATGGCAGACCCACGTGCTGCTGGAAGGGGCCCCAAGCCTGCGTCCGGCTCCGCTGAGCCACGTCGCTGCCCGTGCACTCACGTGCGGGGACACCCCTCCAGCATCACTTCCGGGCCTGGGTCCCTCAGATTCCAGAAAGCAGGTGCGAGGCCTGGAGCCCGGGGGAACGTGGGTGGGGTTTGCTTGGGCTAAGGGAGAGGCCCCACAAGCTCCCCAGGCCTGAGCCCCTTCCCCACCCCCGGCTGGAATCCAGGCCGCCCTGTTCCTGGACGGCCTGGCAGGCATCAGGCGCGCCAGGAATGGACCCAGCTGTCCGCCTGGCCCAGAGAGGCCCCTGCGGCTCTCCCCTGAGCCCCCTCCAGCTGTTGCGGGCTTCAGAGGAGGGGCAAGATGGCGAGGCGAAGGGACAGCTGTTTTCTCCAGCCTCCCCCCCACCCCACCCCCGCTGACTGGGGCAGGCACCATGCTCCCGACTGTCCTGCCCACCTTGAGAGGACAGCGCCCCGACCTGGCTTCCCTCCGCGGCCCCGGTTACTGTCACACCGACAGTGTGTTCTGGAGAGGACCATGCGTGTCTGCCGTGGGGCCCGTCCTGTTCCAGGACTTTCCCGTTGCCTCAGGGGGTCTTCACAGCTTGCAAAGCCCCCAGGAGTGTGGCTGCGGCCTCCTCCCAGAGGCCACGTGCTCAGGAGAGCCCCAGAGCCCCTTCCCCAGCCGTGGCAGCCTCCTTGCGTAAGGGTTGCCCGATTGCAGGGAGATGGAAGATGCTACCCTTCAGTCAACCAGGACGCACCCGGGCCTCCTGCCTGCCACTCGCAGGGGCCACCAGAGGCCGTAGTGCCAGGAGCTGAAGCAGGCTCTCCTTGCTGTCCCCCTGGCCGCCCTGGTCACCAGCCTCTCTGTCCAGGGCAGGTGAGCCATCAGCTTTCTTCCCAGGAGACGGGGCCGTGCCTCGTAATTCTTTGTTCCGATCCCACCGAGGGCTGGTGGAGAGAAGCAGAGAGCTCTGCGGGCTGCCCCCAGGCGCCCAGGCAGGACAGACCCCTGCAGCGGGCAAGGGTGGCAGGCATTCCCTCCAGGGCTCAGGCACTTGTTCGCTTCTGAACAGTTGATGGTGGGGTGCGTCCACGCGTAGGGCCTCCGAGGGGTGGGGTGGGAGCCAGGGCAGGGCTGTGTGACCCTCGAGTCCCGCCTCTCGGCCCTGCGCCTGCCTTGATTCCCAGATGTTCCCAAGGCTCACCTGGGGGCTCCGGGACCCCCTGGGAGGTCTGACTCAGTAGGCCGGGGGTAAACTGGTGGAATCTGTATTTTTCCTGACCTCGGTTGGTTGTGATGGTGAGTCAAGTCTGGAAGCCCCAGCGGTGGTGAAGTAGCCCAGGCCCCCTGCGGGGGCCTGAGGGCAGCGGGCGCCATCTCAGATCCCAGGGGACGGGAGCTGCCCAGAGGCCAGAGGGGCATCGGGAGGAGCTGGCCAGCTGCTCTCGGGCTCAGGGCCTTGCCCACCGTGGCCTGCAGCGACACAGTATCACCCACCCGGGCCCTTGCCTGGGTCTGGGGGGGGTGAGGCCACTCCTGCCCCTGCAGTGGGTTTGTAGGGTGCTCACCGCGCTGCTGGGCCCCACGAGCTCCGAACCAGACGGGGAGCGCTCTCACTCGGCAGCCGTGGGGCTGGGGGCCGGGGCTGGGACCACAGCGAGGGGGCAGCGGCCCGGCGTCTCTAGGGCTTCCAGGCTGTTCTCTCAGGCTCTTGGCTAAGGGAGCGGCGGAGGGTGAGCATAGGGATGCCACCGGGCACCCGCTGGGAGAAGTGGGTCCCTGATGCCCATTGGTTCTGTGTGGTGCGGGGGCGGTGAGGGTGACAGCGTTTGTGAGCGATGTGCACTCGACGTCCACGGCTCTGTGCACGTGGCTTCGTCCCGGCTCCAATGTCCTGGGATTCCCAGGCGGCTCCCAGGCCTTCCCCGGCCACCTGCATCTTCTGGGAAGGGGCTGGCGGGAGGACAAGGGACAAACCGAGAAGCATCCCGAGAGCCGGAGGTTGGCTGCAGCCCACTCTGGCCACGCCACCTACTGCAGCCTCCGATCTGGGCGAGGGCCCCTGCCAAGGCTCTGCGGCTCCTGCTGACCTCGTGACCTTGGGCCGTGGAGAGTCTGGGGTCCAGGACTCCCAGGCTCCGCCCCGGCCACATGCCCTGTGCCAAGCCGGTGGGCGTCCTGGAGTGTCAGCAAGGCTGCTGGCAGGGCGGGGGCAGCCGTAGGCTCGGTGGGGGGCTGCAGGGCCGGAGGGGCCGGCCCAGGTATGGACAGGGCAGTGTGTCCCCCAGTGCCTCTCCAAGAGCCTGAGGCCCGGGAGCATCTGCAGGCTGTCCCTCACTCCCTGCTGAGGTCAGGGCGGTGCCTCTGTGTCACTGGGCATCACAGAAATGCTCCTTGCGATGGAGGTTCAGCGCTGGTGGACCTGTGGCTCCCGCCTCTGCTGCTCCCTGAGGGCTGAGAGGGGCTGGGGAGGGGCGGAGGGAGGGGCGGGGAACGGCAAGGTTGGGGGCAAGGGAGCTGCTGCCCCAAGATGCCCAGGAAACAGACGCTATACCCCGCCCCCCCCCGAGCCTGTGACAAAGGCCGGCAGGTCTCCGCTTGGCGGGAACACCACGCTGGCCTGTGCTGGGCCGTCTTGGTGAGAAGCCAGCTGCCCGGGAGGCTTGGAGGCAGTGCTGCCATCTGTCGGGCCACGGGGAGCTCGGGGGCCTGGTGAACCGCCCGGCCCTTTCTCCAAGCTGGGTGTGCTGCTGCCTGGACCCCAGGCCCCTGGCATTTCAAGTGCAGTGGCAGGACGAGGTCTGGGCACTGGGGAGGTGGCCCGGGGCCCCCCAGGGAGACTGACTTCAGTTTGGATGTCAGTGCAGTCCTGTCAGCAAAGCACACAAGGACCCAGGCGGGCAGAGCAGGGAGGCCGCGCGGGGGGCACAGGCCAGAGGCTGCCCGGAAGAGCGGCCTCCTGGCTGAGGGGCCTCTCCTCCCTCCCTTGCCCCCTAAGTCCCCCCACCCACCAGTCACCAGGCCCGCCTTCCCTGAGGCCACCAGCCCAGGCCTGGTCCTTCTGCCGACTGCGATGGGGAAAGGGATGGAAACCTCAGCAGAAGTCGGTGGACCGACCGGCCAGGGGCGGGGTCGAGGGGTCGAGGAGGGGAAGGGCCATGGGAGGCAGAGGAAGCCCGCAGCACAGAGATCTGGGGAGGCGCCTGGCAGGAGCAGCTCCACTGCATCTCCCGCACTGCCCTGCCTTGGATTTGGAGGGGGGCTGGGCAGGGGGCAGCTGCAAACGCAGGGGGATTGGGGGGGTCATAAGGGCCATGGAAGACACGTTGCTCACGTTCTCCTATAGCCAAGCCAAGCTGGGTCCCAGTAGCATCCCTGCCCCCGCCCTGGGCCCTGACAGCCCTTATCCAAGTCCAGCCAGGCTCTGTGCCCTCCAAGGGTGCCCCAGCGTCGGCCCCACTCATGACTCGGGGAGCACAGAGGGCCCCCAGTGCCTCCACGCCCAGCCGGCCACAGTGCCTGAGCCCACGCTCAGACCAGCCACTGGCCGATCGAGGCGTGGGATACGAAGACCACGTGTTTAAACCAGGGCTGTTCCAGGAGACTCTGGGTGTTTGTTGGGGCTGCCGCCAGCTCTGCCCTCACCCCGCCAGGTGGCTTTCTTCTCTGGGCCTCAGTTTCCCCGTCTGAGAGGTGGGGGGGGGGACGAGCTGACAGTGGGTCTGGGGAGGGTTTCGGCACCGCGGGCCGCGTTCCTGACTAGCCTTAGTGCTGAGCCCAGAGCTCAGCGGGTGGTGGCAGGGCGGTGGGTGCATATCCCCGGCCCCGCCTGTGGGTTAGCGTCGGGGGACACGGCTGCCCCGCACTGTGTCCTGCCTCTGCAGCCCCACGGGCCCCGAGCGCTGGGCTTCGGGGACGTTGCACACAGGGCCCCCCTGTCCCCTGGGCGTGCGGAGCCGGAGACAGCGTCCCGGGTTCCAGGTACTAAAGTGTTGGTTACACAGTCACACCTGGTTCCACGGTTCTGGGGGGAAAACAGCACGGGCTGGGGTTGGGCTCTGGGGGATCAGGGTCCAAAACACTCCAGCTGCCCCGTCCTCCCGCCGGCCCCTCAGCCTCACAGCTGCACACACCCCACCCCGCCAGTCCCTAGAGGCAGAGGCAGCTGCCGCAGGGGGCGGGGAGCTGGGAGCTCAGCTCCGTTTCATTTCCACAAAGCAGCCCTGGGACAGACAGCCCCACCGCCTGCTTCCCAGAGGCGTGTGGAGTGTCCCCCTCCCCAGCCTGGCAGAGGAGACCTGCCGTGTGAACAGCTGCCCTGTGTGGGAGGGGTGGGCGCTCTGGCCCCCAGGTGGCCCCCTCTCTGGGCCTCTGAGGACAAAAGCGCTGCCTGGTCAACCTCGACCAGCCCTCAAGAGTTCACGTCACCAGGAGGCCTGGGGTGGCCGCGTGTCCCCCCACTGCCCCTAGCCCAGCCGCCCTTCCTCTTCAACCCACCTCCCTCCCGGGCCTTGCCACCCATCCCCGGGCTCCCGGGAGCCAGGCTGCCTCCTGTCCCCCTGAGCACCCCATGCCCCCCAAGTCCTGGCACCCGAACCTCCCCGGGCCACACGACAGAGGGCTTGGCAGTCGGGGAGGGGACGTCCCGGCCCTGGTGGGGGAGCTCTGAGCGCTGCTGTGGTGGTGACGGAGGTTTTTCTTTGTTGCAGAGCCTGTGCCTGTCAGTGGGGGTCCCCGGGCTGAGGAGGCCGCATACCCTGTACCCCTGGCACCGGATGCCGGCACCGGGCCGCGTGCGGAGAGCCTGGGTCATCCCTCCCATCAGTGTGTCCGAGAACCACAAGCGCCTGCCCTTCCCCCTGGTGCAGGTGAGGGGCCGCGTGCTTTAGGGCGGGCACACCCCTGGGGCCCCAGGCTGAGCGACCCCATCCCAGCTGGGGGAGGGACCGAGGGCTGCAGAGAGGGGACACCCCTCCCCTGGGGCACCTCCCCAGCCCATCACCTGTCCCACAGATCAAGTCGGACAGGCAGCAGCTGGGCAGCATCATCTACAGCATCCAGGGGCCCGGCGTGGACGAGGAGCCCCGGGGGATCTTCTCCATAGACAAGTTCACAGGGAAGGTGTCCCTGAATGCCGTGCTGGACCGAGAGAAGACAGACCGCTTCAGGGTGGGCCCCGCCCCGCCCCGCCCCGCCCCATGGGGACCATGGCCACACCTCCACCCGCAAAACCCAGCATCCTTAACTGGGGGGCAGGGGTGGGATTTGGGACCGGCTGCCCCAGGAAGCAGGTGTTCAGGGTCACAGGCTCATTCGGCAGGTGCGTGAGCGGACTGAACACTGGGTCCTGCCCAGGAGGACTGGGCAGCTGGCCTCAGGGTGGGCGGCAGCCTTCCCAGGAAAGCAACACCAGACACTGGTGTGGCCGGTTCTCCCCTGAGCCTGCTATGTGAGTTGAAGAAGGGGTGCCATGAGGAATCCCACGGAACTGGCCGCCCCTAGCGGCAGCTGCCCCGTGACTGTCAGGGTGGGACGTCGGGGGAGGTGGGACGGGATCTGCCCAATGGAGGCGTTGGGATTGTCAGGTCTGAGAGAAAGGGCCGTGGGGAGGGGGTGAGCGAGGGGCCAAGGAGGGGAGCTTGGAACTCGCCTGAGTCCCCTACAGACAGATGATCCGCCCCCCATCCTGGCCACCCTAAGGTGATGTTCAGACTTGCCCCGGGCAGGGGGCTGCAGCCTTTGCCTTTCCTGTGCCCGGAGTCTCCCTCAGACTTTGAGAACCAGCTCTTGGTTCCCTTACACAGAGAGTTAGAGGGTGTGTTTCCCCTGGAAGTTGTACCAAGTCTGTTCTCCAAAGGGACAGGAGATGGTTGAAGTTACAATTTCACGTGTGGAGCGGAAACTTCAAAAGCAGCCACGACTGTTCACAGAAAAAGGGAGAGAGACCAGGGGCGCCAGGGGGAGCGTCGCTGCAGCCACGCTCGAAGCACAGCTGTGGGCTTCCTGGTGGCCCAGGCAAGAGGGGGCGCGTGGTGGCCACCCCGCCTGCTGGGAGAACCCAGGCTCCCCTCGAGGGCAGTCCTACCTGCCCGGCACTGCCCCGTCCCCGTGCCGCTTCTCACCTGTTTCCAGCAGGACACAGAGTGCACTCACTGCTGCTCTTGCCCTCGTGGGGGCCGCAGTGCCAGCCCCTGCTCTCTGCTTGACTAGCTCAGGGCCTTTGCTCTGGACCTGGGGGGGTCCACCCTGGAGGAGCCCACGGACCTGGAGATTGTGGTTGTGGACCAGAACGACAACCGGCCTGTCTTCCGGCAGGAGGTGTTCACTGGCCGGGTGCTGGAGGGCGCCGTCCCAGGTGAGCCGAGTGGGTTCCCGGTGGGGGAGGGAGCTTCGCGAAGGGCGCTGGGTAGGTCAGAAGTCCAGGATTTCCCTTCAGCAAGAACATCAGAGGTCCTTCAGAGAGTCTAAAAACACGTAAACAGTCTCCAGGACGTAGGGAATTTCCACAAGTCGACTCAAGCCTCTTCCCATTGCGATATAAATGTCAACCCCCAAATCCTCCAGAGTTCAGAGAGGATTCCTGGATGGCAGAGCTCCGGTGGTTTCCGTTGCTCTCCCCCCCCCCCCCCCCCCCCCCCCCCCTGCTAAATAGAGGTGACGTTCACATAACATAAAAGTAACCATTTTGGAACGAGCTTTTCAGTGGCACTTAGCACATTCACAGTGTCGTGCAACCAACACCTCTGTCTCCTTCATCCCCCGAGAGGCGACCCCCCTGCCCGTTATCAGTCGATGCCTCTCTCCGCATATTAATTCTACACTGAGTGCAGAAACCGCTGACCCTCTGTCCCTTCTGCGTCCTCACAGGGCAGACTCGCTGGCCTGATTCTGTTCCAGGCAGAATAGGCATTCCAGACAGTGATCTGCTCCTTCCCTCCCCACCGGGTCCCCGGGGCTCTGGTCAGATCCCAGGCTGGTTGCAGACCGGAGGCCTTCAGAGCACACCAGAGACTCAGTGTAACTTCAAAGTCAGGGGTTAGCACTAACACAGTGTAACATCTCACCTGCATACCTGTTCCGCTTCAGCGGCCCAGTGAAGCCTTTTAGAGCAAAGGCGGTCCTGCCTCTGTCCACAGTCCCTGCCGCCTGTCTGAGCCT